GTCGACGTGGGGGGGGGGGGAAATGGTGAAGTTTGAAAATCGTTTAATATAACGTACTCAACCACCGTACAAGGTCCTTTCGTTCGTTTGTAGACTGAAAGTATGGAAAGCGAGATGAATAATATTTTTAAACAAAAATTTAAGCCCTAAATCAAATCGACTGTACATCTAAACTATACTGTGTTAAGTAACCAGAAATCATTATTTACGACTCGACGGTAAGGCAGACGGCTTATAACGCTAAAAATCATGTTTCGATACCCTTATTGCGCTCAACACATACAGCCAACTGTGTAGCTTTGTATTTAATTACAAATTAAACGAACGTCACTTGGTTGAGGGGGTTTTCTAGAATGCTATCCTACTCCTAAGAAACACCTAAGTTTACCGACTGCGATGAACTTTACAACTTTCTACTGTAGTTTTTAAGTTTCGCTTTTCACACGTCAACCATCTGTCAGTAAAGACCTGTTAATTTAAATATACTCTGTTATTAGCTAGCTTCGACAACTTAAGTCTCAAAGCACTAGAATAATTCTAACAAGACACAAGCACGTGAATGAATTGATGGATGAATTTTATTTTTCTCTGGAACAATTTAAGGTACCGTGACTTATTTTTACGTCATTTAAAAACACTTGAAAGCAATCAGCTTTGTTGTAACACGGTTTAATAAACAATGTCAACAAATGCAATAATACAACCCTAAACAATGAAAAACAAGTCAAAATCCTTAAATTTCTTTCTTAAAAAAAAAGCTAAACAGATATATTAGAATCTTCTATAAATTTAAAACAATATTTTGTGTTTAATATTTGGTTACGCAATGACAAAAGCATTCAAATGAAAAGAATGTCCGGAAATTATATTAACAGGATTATGTTTCATAGACAGAATATATATACATACAATATATGGTATAACGGCGACTAGAATTTCTCAAATCATTGTAACGCGCGTGCCAACACAGTGCCCCGCTCAAAAATAAATGAATATTATTAAATTAAATATTTTCCGGATCGAAACTGGTTTGATTTCAGCCCCCTAACGTCTTTAAGTTAATCTTGTTGGAACGAGCTTAGTTTTGTCGCCATTTTGATTTTTTAACGATACTGAGGAACACACTGCAGTATAAGTAAACGTAACCAAAAGAAGCAAACGTCAAAATTCCAAGTATAGCTCTGCGTCACGTTGTTTAATCCCTATCAACATGTCGCATTCACAGACAATGTTCTACGTTCCGAAATATAGTGCTTTGGCTTGTTCTTCTAAACGAAACAACTTTGAAGAAAGGTTGATATCATAAATAATATTCAAAGTTAAACTGGTACACAATTAAAAACATTTTATTTAGGCCTATCTATGGCCTAAAAAAAAGTTGACGACTCTACATGTTTCAACGTTGCAACATCATCCTCAGGAGCAACGTCGAAAC